ATCGCGGCCCAGCGGTCTCCTGGCTGTAACCATCGCCCCGCTCTTTCAGACCCAAGCGTCCACACGTACACGAGACGGCGGAGGGGAAGCCACTGGCTCCGCCGGTGAAAGGCCCGCTCTGAGTCGCGAGGCCTGGGGCGGGCGGGCACGCCGCGCCCTGCAGAGCCCCTTCCGCCTCCTTCCGCAGCGTGGAGCCGCTCCCTCTGCGGGCTGCCCCGTGCACGCAGGGTGCAAACGGTGACAGCCAGCGCAGACCGAGCCGCCCAAGCCCAGGGGACACGTGCGCCTGGCCCACAGTGCTGTGGCTTCCACAAGCCTCCGTCCCATCCTGCTGCGGACCTCTACTTTTAAAAGGCGTGAAAAGCCGCCGGGCTGGTCGGTGAAGCACGTGTCCACACGTACATCTGCACGAGGAGCTGCGGACCCACTGGCCAGGGGGACACGGTGTCTGGCCTTGACGGTCGGCACTGCGGCCTCCGAGTTTCTGGGTGCAGGAAATTCTCCCCGGCTCGTGGCAAAGGCGGCAGGGACGGGAAGGCTCCAGGGTCTCCGTGTTCCACTCCGTTTTCTCTGAGGCACATGCTCTCACTCCCGAGGTCCGAGCATCGCTCATGGGCCCCGCTGGGTCCAGGCTCCGGCAGAGGTGCAGCTCCTGGAGATAGTGCGGCGGAGCAGAGCGAGCTAACGGGGGAGAAGCCGCACGGCGGCCACCGCGGGGAAGCACGCGCTCGCTGGCACTCGGTCTCGTGTTCTCGGGAAAGGTTCGTATTGATCCCGCTGGGCACCACCCTCGGGACTGGCCTGCCAGAACCACAGAGCCTCTGCCACGTCTGTGCGGAAGGCCACGCAGACGCCCCTCCTAGTCTGTCACGGGGTCACTCCCCCTGCTTCAGCACCAGAAAGGCGGCTGTTAGGCCTTCTCTGTGCCCCAGGGAGTGTGGATCGTTAATGGAAGGCCGTTTACAACAGGATGTTTACCAGACCCGAGAGAGGGGACTTCGCACGCTTGCCTCCGCCTCTGCCCTGCCCTGGGGAGCACGGTTTTGCTGCACCCTGGCTTCGCTGCACCCCGTTGCTGGAAGCACAGGAGGTTGGGATTGGGGAGGGGGGGCTACGGGCTGCGCCATAAACGTTCTGCTGCGACCGGCCCGTGCCTCTGCCGTCCCCGCTCCTGCCTGTCTGGCTTTGTCACTCCCGCCACCTTGCTGCACTCATGAGAGAAGAAAGCGCTGGCGGCTGCCAAAGGGTCGGTCAGGGAGCAGTGTCACGGAGGCCCGAGCCGACTCCAGAGACAGCGCAGAACGCTGCTCTGCCGCCCGCACGGTGGCCGACGCCGCAGGCTGCACTTGGACTTCGTGCCCACTTCTCTTGACCCGTTTTTTTGCTGAGATTCTGGCCCCACACGGTCCTTAGCCAGGTGAAACCTCCGCTGCAAGCAACCTTCTGAGTCCGTGTCCGGCTGACGGGGGCAGAGGGGACCCATGCCCGGACTGAGTATGGGGGATGAAGGGAAGCTGTTCACCTAGTTTTCAAATGATCCTGGGAGGCAGAGCCACCCCGAGTGAGCACTGGGCCGAGCGAGGCCGGGGTGCCTCTCTCACAACGCGGTCAGCGGCCTGACGGAGGGAGTCTGAGCGCTTCTTGGAAGGAAGCGAGGCCATGTCCTTGGACAGGTGACCAGGAGACTCGAGCTCCTTCACGCAGCCAGCGACCCCAGCAGCCTCCGGGGCAGGCGATGATGCCAGCGGCAACTCTCGGAATCGAAGACCCCCAGGCCCAGGACCGGGCACCCCTGTCCACTTTGTAAATGATGCTGATGGGGACACTCGCCCCGCTGCTGCTGGGGCCCCCACAGCTGTCACAGCTTCTCCCCAAGCTCAGCCGCCCTCCCTACCTGCAGAAAACCTTTTCCAGGGTCTAGAGTGAGTTGTCAAACCCTGGTGTCTCCACCGACCAGTGGTTTTAAAACCCATCTGATGCTGTCCCGGGGTTAATTAGCTTCCCCCGTGTCACGGCCCAGTGCACGCGCCTCCGCAGGGCCACGCGCTAACTGGAAAAGAGGCTATGGGAGCCTTTCTACTCTCCCCAGCCCGCCCCCTGCCCCACCGTCATTGTCCAGAGACGCTGCTGGGCGAGGTGCCATCTGACCCCCAGCCCGCGAGCGGGCCGGCAGCAGTGTGGACGCTGACACAGGCCCCTGCACGACGGCCCGTGACTGCACGCCGGAGCGGGGACATGGGGACATGTCCAGGGGCAGCGGCGATGGCTCCTGGCCCGGTACCGTTTGCACAGGCCCCCTTCCCCTTCCTCCTGGGTGGTTTGCACCCCGTGTGCTTCTAACAGGGAGAGCCCACGCTGGGCTCGCATTCCATCGGTTCCCCCGAAGTGTGAGGCAAACAGGCGGGGTGTCTGGCCCAACCCCAGTGAGGGCTCGTGGGGGCGGGGGAGGGGCGCCGGCTGCACCTGGAAAGCCCTTCGGGAACCAGCGTGACTTCTGCCTCATTCCCCCAGGGCTCCTGGCCAGGCACAGCTGTGGTGGTGGAGAGGACCGAGTCCCATGGCCGCACATGTGTCCTTGGATGAACCATCCTGAGAAGGGCAGGGTGCAGCTGGCCGGCGGGGCCAAGCTGGGGCTCACCTGCAGGACGATGGGCAGCTGCTCGGGGGGGCTCCTGTTCTCCACGCCCATCGTCAGCCACACCTGGAACGCCGTCAGCTGCTCGGCGAAGAACGGGCTGTGCTGTGGGGCGGGCAGAGGCGCACTGGTCAGGGCCGGCCTCCTGCATCCCACCGGCCTTCACAGGCCCACCCACCATTTCAGTCACCACTCTGCACGGCCTCCACCGTCAGAAGAAGTGACGAGAGATGGTCACACCTGGGGATGCTAGACAGTGGAGCTGGCAGGACACGTGTGCGACCGGGTGTGGGGAGGGACGAGGCCCCAAGCCGAGGACACCTCGGGGCTCCCAACCGGAGCACCAAGAAAGGTATGGAGAAGCCTGTGCTGTGGGAGCGGGCAGGAAATCCCGGCCGCGCTGACCTCCAGTTGCCTCCTGGGCGCCTGAGTGAGGACCTCGAGCGGGCAGTGGCCCAGGGGGGCCATCGCTGAGGGGAGGGGTCTGGACGCAGACACTGCGGCCCGGGGCTGGGTCAGCCCAGACACGGGTCCAGAGCCGACTCGTCCAGCTGGTGGCGTGGGGTCACTGGAGAGGGCGGGGCATGGCGGGGGGCTCAGGACGGGCGACAGAGGAGCCCCAAGTGCAGACAGCTCTCTGAGGCGTCTGGCTGCGGAGAGGCTGCAGGAGGGTGCGGTGTGGCCGCGCGCCGAGGCTCTTGTCTAAAGGAGGGAGAACGGAGCATCTGCAAGCTGAAGAGCGGGGCCCGGGGCTGAGGGGAGGCCGGCGGAGGGGCAGG